CATTGCATTCAACACTGAATTTGGGATTAATTTTACAGTTTTTTGCGCTTAAAATACAAAACAAAATATCAGTTCATTGATTGTCAACCCATTAGTGGTTCACTAATCGCTAATTCAGTGCTAAATACACACGTGTTTTGCGCCACTATTACAGAGTTGATCGCAAATTAATATAAAAATCACTATTTATTTAAACCGTGTGTTTGTCTCACAACACAAAAAGTAATAAAACTTTTTTATTATGCATTTCGCGCCGACAATGCGTTTATCACTCCATTTGATCCACTAATTGATTGCCTCTGACCACAGATCACCACTTGTTGAGTGTCGGGAGTCGTGTGTCTGAACGCGTGACCAACGATGAGATCATTTACGCCACAGATTTCATGGCATAATAGGGATCCCATACTAAGCGTCGACTTCCAGAACCGGGTGTTGACGCCGTCCGCAGACACCAAGGATGGCAACGCTGTGTCCTATCGCATGGCCACCAGTGGTAACGATTCCCACGTAATCATATGGAAGGTGACCACCAATGAGAGGACACAGTCATCGACGGCGAGCACAGGCGCTGATCAGACGCCCGCTGCGCCTAAACGGGCGCCAAATGTGGGCATTGAATGTCTGGCGGATCTGACGCGACATCAAAGACCCGTAAATGTGATCCGCTTTTCGCCGAAACTCGAGGACAACCTGTTGGCCGCCGGCGACGACGACTCCTATATCTATATCTGGAAACTGATGGACGAGTCGGCCGTCAATAACACGGAGAATGAGCTGAAGTCGCCGTCGGACGCGCCGGTCGTTAATCCAAGTGTTGGTAAAAAACAGGAGTTTTGTGTCAAACATAACGCCAACTCAGACGACGATGAGCTCCAGATTCTGGAGCAGCAGTCGTCCCTTAAGACAATCGATGGTACGCCCAATGGCTTAGAGAACTCGCCGTTCGGTGAGGAGGAGATGATCTCAACGGAGGTCTGGAAACCGCATAAAATACTTCGCGGACACCTGCAGGACGTGTCGGACATAAGTTGGTCACCGGATGGTCAACGGCTAGTGTCGGCGTCGGTGGACAACACGGCGATCGTATGGGACGTCCATAAGGGCCAGAAGTTGCACAAAATCGTTGAGCACAAGGGCTTCGTTCAGGGCGTGACGTGGGATCCGATCGGCAAATATTTAGCCACACTTTCGGCCGACAGGAGTATGAGATTAATTGACGCCAAAAGCGGTCGCATTGTCTACAGAGTGCACAAAATGCGTACCGAAGACGACAAGAGCTCCCGTCTCTTCTACGACGACACCCTTCGCTCGTTTTGCCGGCGCCTGACGTTCACACCGGGCGGGGAGTTCCTGATCGCACCGTCCGGTATACTCGAGTTAACCGACGATAACACCGATAATAGCAACGAAGAGACAAATAAATACATTAATACGACATATATTTTTGAACGCAAATCGTTGAATAAGTGAGTGAATGGCAGTAATTTGTCTTAAGATATGTGATCATTAATTATCTCGTGTTTGATCCCATGATTCAGACCATCATTTTATTTACCGTCGAAGAAGTATACGATAGCCGTTAGCTGTTGTCCGAAGTTATACCAACTGCAGGACAACCTCGAGAATCAGTTCCAGTAAGTGTTTGGCAAACAATTTGTTTTCGTTTGTCATAACTTAAAAACTTTTTCCCATTCATTGTGTGATAGGTTTCCCTATCGAGTAGTGTTCGCTGTGGCCACACAAGACTCGGTGCTATTTTATGACTCTCAACAGAGCTTACCCTTCGCGCAGGTGTCGAATATACACTATTTAAGGTTAACTGACATTAAGTGGTCACCCGATGGTCGGGTACTTATCGTGAGCTCCACCGACGGGTTCGCCACATTCATCACATTTGAAGCCAATGAGTTAGGCGTTCCCTACGACGGGCCGGCCTTTAACTTCGAGGAAATGGAGACCTCATCGCCGGTGATGACCGGTAAGAACAGCTCCAAACTCAATGTGTCCGCCACGGAGAACATTGTGGTAACGCCTGAAGTGGACAGGAATGCTAAGCCCAAAGTGGCCACACCTTCCATTACGGCCTTCTTTAAGCCGACGGAACTCCAGAGAACACCCGAAGTGGTGGTCAGACCGTTGGCTCAACAGCAGAATCAGTCCAATTGTCCGCCACAGCAGCCAAACGGACAGACACTGACACCAAAACACGAGTCCAAGAGTCCCAACGTATTAGTGCCGCGAAAAAAGATCAAATTAACTACTGTTGAGACCATTGATCTCGAATGAGGTGCCATTTGTTATGACATTATAAATAAGTTTTTTGCCATTAATTTGTCATTTGATTTGTAAGTTTTTTACTTTTCAATTACCGTAGTATACTTATATACAGTATATAGTTAGTAATTAATGAATTAAGTTATATTACAATAGTTTTTTTGCTCAAACCTTTGAATTATTCAAATATGTTATGATTTCATCGATAAATATATGAATTATAATTTATTTATATTTTTCCGATAAATATCTTATGATTTGTGTGTGTTTTTTGTACAGCAATTCAAACGATAATCATTTCATGAGTTTTCTTGTTTTTTATTTTTACGAGTTTTTTAATGAGATGTCTGTTTACCCGAAGAATAAGCGATTGTATTATGAATTGAAAGTTAAAATTAACTCTTTTGTAGTCTTTATGTCACATCATATAAAATATAATAATCTTTTTTCTATACAAAATCAAATTTAATGACTTATTTGAATGCATTTTATGTTCTGAATGTGAAATGTAATGTAAATGTTTTCGATAATTATAATAACTGTTAGCTTTCTATGCGTTTATTAATTGCAAAATACTTTGCTATGATTTTTATGTCATTATAATTTAATTACAATCAAATTCATGCTATTGTTTGTGTGGTTTGAAAGTGTGTTTCAATTTGAAACTTTCAAACTATTGGAAATGATATTTTGATTCAAACGTATGGCTAAAATGTGTATTGTTTATAGTTTTTGTCGCACACATTCCTAACAATAATTTACATTTTAAAATCAAATGTTGAGTCGATTTTAATTAAAAAATATTTCCAAAAACGCTAACGATTTAGTAAAACATTTGCTTAAAATATTATGTCCAATGGAAACAAACAAAAACTGTTTTTGACACTAAATATTCTGCTCATAAGTATATCTTATATTAATAATACGGTTTTGATTTGTTTCATACGATAGTCGCAAAATCCATAAACTTAACCAAAAAAGTCTTATTTATGTTGAATATTATGAGGTCTTAAGCGAAATGCAAAGTATATATCGAGAGCTTCTCTCTCACTTGTATATAAATCCTTGTGTATTAGTCCACTAGAATGTCTGTCCACACCCGTGTGTTTCCCCTTTACTTTTCCCATCCCTTTCCACTGACAAGTAGTATATATTATATATGAAAACTTATTCACGGTTTAAGTCACTTTCGCTTTATTTCAAGCGTTGCGTAACGTTAGCCAACGCGACGGCCAGCGCTTGTAATGCACTGAACGGGTACTGAAAGTCTAGTGTATAGGCGTTGCCATCGATTCGGCCGAATTGCATAACCTGTGGGTTGGGATCAAACAGTTTTTTGTTATACTTTTATACTTTTCTATTATTAATTTAATTTTACTCTATAAATAAAATATTAATATAATGACCAATTGTGGCTAATGTTTTTAAAGTAAATATTAATCTACTATCTAAATAGTATGGTATTTACATTTGCCTAATACGATTTCTAACGGTTATGTATTTTATATACACAGTTTTGTACCATAAGTATTTATAGTGAATATAATTCACTTAAATTGTCTGAATTTCAAAGCTATTCATTTAAATAAAATTTTTACTGTATATAAAATCCGATTCTTATAACGATAAGTGAACAATGAATGTCAGAATTATTGTCACTAAATCTCATTTGCTATTCATTTTATGTATACTGACATTTTCTATAGTTTTGTCGGAATAAGATTTAATAGAAATTTATTTTACATAATAAGAGACTATTATTAAAGGGATAACAATACACTTCCCAAAGCTATGATTCAAATAATGAAACTTGGACACAATGGGCACATAAATGTTCAAAATTGAAAACATTATCCTAAAATGTACAGAATATATTCCTTAACATTTACTGCTTGTATCTAATATTCATTAAAAATTACATAAATATTCAGTAAACCTATATTTCATTATCATTAATATGGAGATTATTGATAATTTAATAATAAACTCAATTCAATACCTGTTTGCCTTGATATTCAATTTGGAAATTCTTGGCGGACTCCTGGGTAACCCTACCACCAAAATCCAACTGATAGACCTGGCTCACTTCGTTCCAAAGGGGCGCCTTATTGTGGAGCACAAACTCCCGATAGGAGACGGCCTCCCGGGCCTGACTGGTGGCCTGTTGTTGTGTTTCGTTGGGTTTCACTCGACTATTCCTGCGCTTGACTTTGAATTTTCGCCGGAAGTGCCGCTTCTGGAAAGTCTCCAAATTCTTGTATGAAGACGAGTCGTCCAACTCGTCCTCATCGCTGGTGTTTTCCGACTCCGAACTGCAGTCCAAATAGTTTAGCCTAAAATTAGCAAATAGTATCAGGGTAAAATTTATGAGCAATTTGGCAATTTAGCAAATAGTTTAGCCTAAAATTTATGAGCAATTTGTATCGTAAATATTTCATTTAAGTACTTATTTGTGTTCAAAAACCATTACTGTACTGTATATCATACACATTTCCAAATATATATATACATTTTAAAAGTTTTTAATGCTTTTATTATGTATATTTAGTCGATTCCGAGTTTTGTATGTTAAATTCTGGTGATAATAGAATTTAAGATTGAATTTTATATGAAGTCCTAATATAATGGGAATATTTTATGACTTCACTGAATATAAAGCGTGAATATTAAGTAATTTGATTTTCACATTCAATATAAGAATTCATTTATCGTGTGTTAGGCTAAGGCTGTGATGTGCTAATGGATTGTAAATTGGATTTTAATGAAAAGTTATGCCTAATATTTGATTACATTATATAACAGATGAGTGCACACGAGTTGTGAGAAACAAAATCTAAAACAATAATTTGATTACTGAA